TGTGTGCACATCTTAATGCAAGTAAGACAGGGGCAAGGTACTGCACAGAAAGTTCTAGGAAAGTAATCATTGAGCTTCATAGAGAGAAATTATTGACAATGTCCAATAAGAGGCAGATTTCAGGTCATCATCTGCTACCTCCAGATGTGCGTGTATTCAAAATACTTTGTTCATCTGTTTTTATTGGTTTTGGTTGATGTTAAATCTTATCTTCTTATGAGAAGGTGGTGTCTGTTGTTTAGAGGATAATATAACAATATTCCATACAGCCAGTGAGAACTGCCTCCGGGCTGTTAAATTCTTGTAATCTTATCTATCCCATATGACCCTTCTGCAGAGAGGTCAGGACATAAATAATGGTCTCCTGGAGATGTTTTTATCTTTCACTGTATTATTATTACAAGACAAGATCTGGATTTTTAGGCATATCATTGGAATCCTGAGATGTTTTAAAATAGATGATCTCAATCTAAAACATGACTTTCCATTTCAGAATCTCAAAGTAATTCAACAATATTTCATTTATTAAATTACACAAAGTGCTTCTGAAATAAATGAACATTGTTCTGTTTTACACTTGAAAGTGAATGCAGGTCAAATCCTGGCCTGACTAAAGTCAATGGCAAAATTCCCACTGACTTCAATGAGACTAGAATTTCAACATACATGAATCATCTGAGGTCATATAAAATATCTATGGAGAACAAGGCAGCCCCAAGCAAAGATAACTTGAGCTAGATCTACACACAAGAAGTCTGACACCGGACTCACTATAGCCATATTGGCTGAGTACAGATGGTTAAAAAGCCCAAGGCTGAATCAATTCAATCTTCACAGGTCTAAGCTGTGTAGATAGACTCAATAAGCAAGTGAACAGACATTCACTATTGATTCTAGAAATGCAGTCACACACCTGCAGTGGCCCACTGCTGTGAGTTAAATTTGAATCTGGAGGGGATCTGGGACAGAAGTTCAATAAACTGCTTTACCCATAATCAGTTAACTCTGATATGACATCCATCCTGGTTCATCTTAAACTGGTTTCAGCCATTTTGAAAGTGGTTTATGTGTACTGAACTTCTGTTGTGTAACAGATTTGAACTGGTTTCTAATCACATACCAGTATGTGTGTAAGTTCTCTCCCTAGCCATTAGCATAGTACAATACCCAAATGAGTAAATGATGCTTCTTAGCAGATTAATTCTTCTGGGTGCACTGCACTAACACAACTACATTGCTTCTGGCTCCAGAATTAACATGAACAGATGTTTAGATTAGGGCAGTAGGACACAGCCTTTTTGGCAGACTTGTGATAAATTAGCAATATGTCCTCCCTGAGTGCCACTTCAGTCCTCTTCCCAGATCAAATTTGCTGCTCTGCTTTCTGCTCCATACCCTATCCGCTGGTATACTGCCTGTCTCATCCCCAATCTGTTGCATGCCGTACATCGTGGCTGCCCACTTGCATTTGTGGCATGCATGCTGCAGGTTGGCCATCCCTGGTTTAGGATATCTCTGTATGATGTTTTTTGTTCTGTATAGACATATCTATAGTCTTTGGTAAAGCAAGGAAATGAATGTGGTGTACCACCCCTGTGCCCTAAATGCAAGACCACCATTCTTCCTATAGTTGCCCTGAGTAATCTTGCAGATACCTGTATTTGTATTTTTAAATTAAGTTAATACCTGTGAATCATGGAATCATAGAAAATTAGGGTTAGAAGGGACATCAGGAGGTAATCTATTCTAACCCCCTGCTCAAAGAAGGACCCTCCTCAATTATCTCATCCCAGCCAAGGCTTTGTCTAGCTAGGTCTTAAAAAAACCTCCAAGGGTGGAGATTCCACAACTTCTCTGGTTATGGAACGATACTCTGTATACCCGCTGTTTTTCTATTTCTTTCAAATAGAACTGGTATGGGCAGTAGCAGTGCAAACTCCCCCATGCTTTCCATGCCAGTACGCTAAAATACTAACTAGTATTGACATTGCATGACTACTCAGTGGGCATGTTTACACAAGATGTTTAGTGTCCATTGGACTAATTCTACGGCACATTAGCGCAGCTAGCAAAAAGTGTTCAACTGAACTAATGTGCAGTAGATTTAATCCAATACGTGTTAAACATCAACTGAAAAGCGTTCACCTGCGCTTATGTGCAGTCACGCCAATTATGGTGCATTCAATTAATACCTGTTATTACAGGTACTAAACATAGTGCACTGTA